GGTTGTGTTGACCGGCTGCCCTAGAGAGTCTTTTCCCCAGACCCTTGCTCCGGGGTTTTCTCTCTCCCGCCGGCCCCCGGCGGCGGTCATGGAGGCCGACCGCCCCAGGGGCGGCGCGCGGGTGCGGAAGCGGCAGCGGCTAGAGTTTAGAACCAGGAAACTGATATCATGTTGGAAGAAAGAGAGGGATTGGTGGAATAGTTAAGGTAGGAACAATCCTACGCTATCCTATGTTTCCTAAATAAACATTATACTCAACAAATTATAGTCTGATCACGTTGTTTTCCTGTCTCAGTATACAGAAGTGAATTGATATGTATAACAGAAAGAGCTAAGCATTGCGGCAAAGACCGTCGTGACATAACAAATCCATTCGATATTAATATCCCGTGATAGAACAATTACATAACTGCAACCAGGTGTAGCTTACAGCAAATACAGACTAGTGGTCCTCGTGCGCTATTCCATATAGTTACAGTTTCTCGAAGGGTGATGTCGTTGCTATCTTAAAAAAGCCGCATCAGCGCCTTGTGATTTCAAGCTGAAACTTAAAGCCTTAATGGGATGCTGCTACCAGCAAGTTCTTCAAACTCAGGAATCCACGGGTGCTACATTGCTACATTCTGCCTTCCCCATCACTTCACAGTTCTGTTGGGAACTTGTCATTTGTTGTCACCTGCTTTAGGCCAACAATGAGCATAGTTAGTGGCTGCGGCAACAGTAAAACCACTTACTGTACAAACAAGACATTTGAAAATAAGTTGGTTGCTTCCGGCCACGTGTCTTATGAAGTGCATACCATATGGCATTAGAAACTCTCATTGAGTTGGTGCGACAGATAGCATTATTTCTGAGAACGCTTAAAGAGTTAAAAGATCAGACCATATGTGGAACAGCCCCTGGATCTGAGGGCTATCCAGTGGTCTGGGGGTGCTTGGGGGCCGACGGGTCATCGGCAAGGCGGCCGTTGCCGGTGCAGTAGCAGAAGGTAGCGGGGATTAGAGATAGAGAACAGGGATTAGAGAAACTAGACTTTATTGATTATTGATTGCCTCTAGCTTACACGGGGAGGCCCTTTATATAGGACAGCGAACTAGTACTACTTTGACATGTTTTGGGCTCCAATTTGAATCTGACTCAAACTAGAGTACCTTACCAGAAGCTGCAAACTACTTGATGGTAACATGCCCCCAGTGTGTACCAGCAAAGGCAGGAGTCGGCCCATTAGCCACGGGATGGCACAATCCCATGGCTCGGCCCATGACATACACCGGGGCACACATCAAGACCTGGCGTACGGAAATACGCGTCTCGCAAGATCTGGTGTAATCCTGTATGATTAGGCTAGATCATACCAACCCGGATACATTTAACCCTAGCCCTGTCCCCCCTATATAAGGCTGTCGGAGTGTGATCTCATGATATCAGAGTCAGGTGACCCCCTTTTTATGATTTGGCCAGGGGCTAAAACACACTCAAGACAAACAACTAGCTAAATCATCATCTCAAGACATGATTCTTTTTTACCCAGGTTCTGACCGCAATGATGCGTAATACCCTACTCATGCCTTGTTCCGTTTATATGGTAGATATATGGAGGGTACAAGTGCTCGCGCACTATTGGGGAGTGCTCGGGGATAGCTAAGTGATCAGAGCGTACTGGCCCGGGCACCCCTATTCTTCTCTCCTCTCTTCTACCACTTGATTTGTTGTGTCTAAAAGACTTTTCCTTCTCCTGGCCGCGGCTCTCCCCTTATATACCATCAGGGGGGAGGGTGGGGGGGCACCACAGTGGCCTTCCATATATACTATGAACTTGGACGTAATTAGTCACACGCCTTATCTTTCACTTGGGTGGCTGCTGTCAGGCAATTGGTCGTTTGACACGAGTAGGCTACCAAGCACTCGAGTCCTCCTGCCTCTTGCGGGCCCATGTGCCAGTGAGAGGGTGAGGCAGCGTTGTTTCTTAGTCAAAAGACTCCATGTACTGTCGTTGTCAACAACTTGATAGGCGCAGATGACGGTGCAGAAAACCATCAGATCCGACGGTACGGTAGCGAGCGTGGCCTGAAGTACCAGAGGCGAATTCGCACGGAGGGTTTACCCAGGTTCGGGCCATCATGGTGAGGTAATACCCTAGGTCCTGCTTTGTTTTGTATTGATGTGGGAGCACCTCGTGCGAGGGGGTTACAAGAGAATGGTGAATATGACTACCGAGAGTACTGTCTATGTCATGGAACAGATGGATATGAGCTACCCCTAGCCTCGCCTTATAAAGCGGACGAGAGCTAGGGTTTACTGGGCTCCTAACCGACCTCATGCATGAGGGCTTCTTGGCTTGCACGCCAAGATGAACTCCTTGCTCCTAGCCGGGCCTGTGGACTGCCTCCTGGAGTCACGTTGGCCGCTGTAGAAAGCCAACAGATCACCCTGGTGAAGAATGGGGCTGAAACCAGAGCTGGAAGCATCACACTTGACGATGAAGCGAGTGCCAAAGTCAAGCATCTCAAGGACTGAGGCTGTACTGAGGAGGCGCTTGTGCGCACCAATCGTGGCCTGAACTTCTTCGCACCAACGTAACCCCTCCTTTCTTCAGAAGCTTGGTGAGCGGGGCTGCGATGGTACCAAAGTTCTTGATGAACTTGCCCGTAGCAGCCTGCAAGGCCAAGGAAACTGCGTCTAGGACACGAACTAGTACTACTTTGCCATACTCTCGACTCTACTTGGAATATAACTCAAAGTAGACTACCTTAACAGAACCTGGAGACTACCAATACAGAAGCATCCTTCAGGACATCAAACTGCCCTTGTCTAGCCACAGCCTAACCTGCCCCTGCTGCCTTGCGCCTACCATGAGGAATTCCCCAGATAACAATACGCATGGCACACATCAACTTCAAATTGACAAGGAATATAAGCACAGAAACACTGGTCACTTCATTTGTTAGACATCCAGAACAATTTTAAGCAATTAACAGGTTATTTGTCCAAATTACTGTTTACTACCCCCGTCCCAAAATAATTGAAGTTCTAAGATTGTCCTAAGTCAAACTTCATTAAGTTTGACCAAGTTTATATGAAAATATATCAACATCTACAAAACCAAAATTACTTCATTAGATTCATTATAAAATATATTATCATATTGTATATATTTGACATTGTAAATCTCTCTGGATTTGTCTATAGACATGGTCAAACTTTAAAAAGTTTGACTTAGGAAAATCCTAAAACTTCAATTCTTTTAGAACAGAGGGAGTAATAAGCCTTTATGTTCAAGCACCAGATAAACTCAGGGGATTAGTGATGATATAATTATGGAGGTTGAAAGGTGAGAAAAATACATACTTGATTTGGGATCAACGTGCACAAAAAAGCTTGCGGCAACTATGAGATAGCATAATATGAGCATAAAGCCTTTAAAATAGTTCGACGTGCCTTCCTGGAAAAAGCATAGACTAAAGTGTTAGAGTTGCACTTGATCAAATTTAAAAGGAGCACATTGTTGCAACTGCATAAACTACAGAATACATTATAAATGCTGACTCGTTCTGCAAACATACCTGTAGCATAAATGCCACCACAAGTACTGTTATAAAAAGAGTTGCTGTCTCAAACAATTGAAAGTTCAAGTCCATCTCTTCCCCCATCATCCAGCCAATTACCACACAGAATGGAATCTGCAAACCATGCAACATGGGTGTTGGTTGCAATTGTTTAACCTTGCAAAAAAAATATTGAAAATATACAGGACGACAGTTGAATCTTGTTGAGTAAATGAACTTACCACAAACATAGATATCTGTGTTGACGACCCTATGGCGACACCCAATGTAATGTCCTTGTGGCATGCAAGAGATTAAAGATGAGAACAGAATCACACAATTGAGTTGCAGAAAGCAGGGGCTACTTACAAGTTTGTTTTTCATGGCAAACATAATGGCGCTTGCATGCTCAGCAGCATTCCCCACGATAGGAAGCAGAATAACACTAATAAAGGCCAGTGGCATTTTTAATGATTCAGAGGCCCCCTGTTACAACATAGTAAAGAAGCACAGTTTGAGCAGGAGATAATGCATTGATGTAAAATAGTGATTATATTTGTATCCTGATGTAAACATTTCATTACCTGTATGGCATCTACCAGGTACCCAGAGAGAATTGAAATCCAAATAGTCAATACAAAAAGCCAGGAGATAGCTTCCCCCTGTGCTATCTCCTTTTCATCCTCCTCATCCTCAGTGCTTTCTTCTTCCTGTTCTGGCAAGTAGGAAAATTAGGATTTGAAGGAACTGTGCACAAATTTAAGTCCAGATTTTCTCTGGTTTGTTTTGATGGGCAATTATTCCTTTTTGCCTCATGTGACTTTGAGAAAACAGCAAATGATTACATGACTAATTAAAAGAGCCTGAACTGTTTGGAAAGTGTGGTGAAGTGACACATATATAAGTCAGAAGGGATATTCAAAGAAAGGTATGTGATGTACTAGTGCAGAGCTAACATATTTAAAGGCAAAAGGATTGTCGCTGCATTGTCGATGATAAGTAGAATTACCTATGGCCTGGGACCTTAACGTCGTGTCAACAGCCACCACTAAATCAACAGATAGGATATCGCACCAAGGAGGACCGCCACCGACCACGGAGGAGACTTCCCATCAAAGTACAACATATCAAAGGAAACTCCCTGCGACTTACGAAAGGCTATACGTGTTGTAAACCAACACCAGTCCAACTCCTACTCCTATACGCCCCACGCACTGATATGGACTCACCCGTACCTGTTGAGGGATTTTACGTCGATCCTAACAGCGGTAATAGAGCGAGTGTGGAATTTGTAGTCGATGGGACGTCACGTCAGGAGATCAGAGGGTCTTGAGCACAGAACACGAAGACACATGATATACCCGGGTTCAGGCCCCAATTGTGAGTGAAAGCATACCACTGGTTATGGATGGCTCCATATGTGCGATGGGGTGTGCAGAGATAGGAGTCGGATACGGTGTCAGTATACAATGCGTTTGGCCCTCTTCCTATGTTCCATACAATATTTTCCTACTCCTTTAATTTCATTCGATGGCAGGTCTCCTGAGGGAGTGGCGCTTCTCCATGTGTTGAGGTGCTATCTTTGGGCTTTGCAGGGCCCATTTGAGCGGCGATGGGAGACATGCCGTACGCAATTTCACTTACGCCGACAATGTCAGAGCTATAAATAGGGGCCACATAGAAGGGGGTCCACTCCTTTCTAACTAGTTTTAGCATACTACTCCATGCATAACGATTTCGGCGCTTATCGTCCAAATCTCCATCATAACTCGACGGGCATCCCCCGACGTTGTAATCCTCGATATATAAAGAAAAGAGCAAGGCAGGAAGTAAGGCGATTACCCACCATGGGGGCTGAACCTGGGTAAATCATGGTGTCCCCTTTACTTGTGTTCTAGATCTATTGTATCCTAAAAGTTAGGTCCCCTCAACTACAAAGTCCACGTACTTGCTCTAGTGCCGATGTTAGGACACAGCGAAAATCTCTCAACAACTGGTGCCGACCATGTGGTTGTCACAAAATCAGATCAAATCTATGACATCATTTCATCATCATCGTCGGACGAGGAATCATCCAGGGCAATGACAAATAGCCAAGGGTCACGGGAGAAAGACTCGGGGGCTTACTCAGCGAGAACGCCCCTACTTCTTTTCCGACCCGGCCAAGGGAAGTCCAAATGCACAGGAGAAGGCGTCATAATTCAAGTCCTCCGACCCCAAACGCCTGACGAATTCAGCCAAGGAGGAGAATCATGAGAGATTCATGGTGAAAGAGGTCGCTACCAACTGCAATGCATGAGACAGATCGGGGTATCCACCCTAGAACTTCATCAACGGTCTGGACAACCAAAGGGTGAAGCAAAACTTATGTTGCCAGAAGGCAATACACAAGATCATAGGGAAGAGGATCGTTCAAGAGAGAACACGTATACAAGTAGAGCAGAATCAGGAGCGTCTCTCTGAAGAAGAAACTGTGCGTGGAGTGTTCAACTTGTCAGCTTCGCAGGAACATGATGAAGCAATCCAAAATCTCATGTACTATCCTCACAACTCGCTGAGTTTCCATGACTCGAGGGGTACCCCTGACATTGTAATGCCTGATATCCTCGATATATAAAGAAAAGAGCAAGTTGGGTAGTAGGGCTTTCACCTTGGGGCCCTAAATCTGGGTAAATCATTTGTCCCCTTTTACTTGTGTTTTAGATCTACTGATATCCTGACGCGACGTCTTCTTAACTACAAATTCGATGTACTAGCTCTAGTACCGCTGTTAGGACCCGCGAAAACCCCTAGACATATATTGCATGCATACTGTGCAGCTTGATCACTTACTTACACCACCCAATGCAGAAGACACAATTTTACATGGATGACTATAATAACTATGATACAGCATTAAAATGATATGTGCCCCTCAGAGTAAAACCTTATGCATCCATATCTCGCTTTACAGTTTTCAGTGTTTGCATAAACTATTTCCCCTTATCTAAAAAAAGTGTTTGCATAAATTAGCTTTCAACTACTTACTTCGCCAATTGGGCTGTACAGACTGCGCTGGCTCTTGAGTTGAAAAAAAAGATAGCTAGCATAAGCCACAAGCATTATGCAGCTACTAAACCTTGAAAGAGAAACTTCGGATTTTCCATAGTGCGCTTCAGAATGTGTAAAGTGAAGCACCGCTGGAAACATTAGACCCAAGACAGCCATCAACAACAACCCAGAGTTCACAACAGCTGATGCCTACATAGAAAAATGCAAGTTAATAGAGATAAAATGTGTGGATAATAATGGAAATAACCACCTTTTTATTCTTACCTTATTGAAGACCTGATCTCTATTAGGATGAGCAAGCCCACCAGCAAAGAAAGCACACCCAAGAACTAACAGCATGTTTGATAATATAGAGCCTAGTAGTGACTGCTGTACGACACGAATCATTCCGTTTTTCAGAGCATATATCGAGATAATCATCTCTGTCGCATTTCCAAAAGTAGCATTTAGAAGCCCCCCAACTGCAGTTTCAAAAAGGAAGAGTCTTTACCGATTGCTGAAGTCAAGATTTGAATTAGGAAGCTAAGATAATATGGAATGAAGACACATACTTGTTGGGCCAGTGTAGCAAGCAAGTTGCCTGCACAAGACAAGGCATCTGTTATTGAAAATGCTAAATGGAGCTCGAGCTCCATGTGGGCGGAATTTTGAAAAATTCAAAATCACACTTTTATGTTTCAAAACATTCTGAAAAATATGCATACACCGAGAGACGTAATGTACATGTGTGTAAAATTTCATGTTGAAATACGTTAAAATGAGAGCTACACAAAAAAACAAATATGTGGCTGTTTAGCACATGCACTATTCATTCTCAAAGTCAACAATTTTGTTGTCTTTTGTGCGGCCAATTCATGGTATTTCACCGTGAAATTTTACACACGTATACATTACATCTTTGTATACGTGTATATTTTTGTTCATGATTTTTTGGAACTGAAAATTTTGAATTTTGATTTTGTTTTTTCAATAACAGGCTCCATGGAGCCCGTCCTCCAAAACGCCCTACTCATCCGTTGTAATATACAGTAAGTTATATAACATACAGAAGCTAGATTAGACAAAATCCACTAGGCACTTACTCAGTTGCATATCCCAATCTCTCGGCCAAGGGTGTGATACCAACTAAGCTGAAAAGGAAAACCCATCCTTGCTGTGAAGCATTTGAAGGAAGCAATCCCAGAAATGGAAAGCGTTATCAGGTCAGTCTTGCTGTTGCAAGTAAACGTGACGAAGAATGCAGCAGAAAAAATGAAAGCATGCGCCCCTATTATAGATTCAAAAGTAGTACAGTAGTAAAAACGAAAGAAGCTAACAAAGCAGAAAGAGTAAATCATACTGCATCAACTCTGATGAATGCTGCAGAGTACTCAGTTTAGATGGGTGATCATTGTGGGCATGTTCCTTACGTGGTTCCCGGAGAGGTAGTGAAGCGTGATGGCGAGGGGCCCGAAGGGCAGGAGCACATTGATCTTGGCCTGGAAGATGACGATGCGTATGCTCCTGAGCGCCATCCGCCACTTGCTCCGGGGCGAGAGCGACTCCGCCACCGCCGCGAGCGAGCCGATGTGCTCGAAATCGAGCGACTGCATCTTCCTGGCCGGCGGCGGCGTGTCGGCCGCCATATCATCCTCCTCCTCGAACCCTAGTTCGGCCTTGTCCGCCGCCCCCATCATCTGAACAAATCCAAAACGAAGCGAATCCAAATCAAGAACCGCCACCGATCCCTGTCAACCGCCGGACGGCGCAAGAATCCTACCTCCCGCTCGACGCGGACAGATGAAGATAGCGCTCCAGGAAATGCGAAGGATTAGGGCTCGGATTTGGATGGTCGATTTCCAATCAACAAGGCCTCTCCTCGTTCGTTCTACTAATCTTTTTCTCCTCCCGCTGGTTTTGTTGCGCGACGCGACGGACACGGGACGAAGCTGCCTGCGTGCTTCGTTGTGGGCGGATCCGGCCGTAAGCTGGATCGGCTTCGGGCCCGCGTGTCATGGAGAAGAAATGTGCGTCAGTGCCTTGCCCACGCTTCATGGGTGGTGGTCGGAAGAACCCTTTTTTAAAAATAAAAAAACTAGCTACACGGGGCTATATATATTTCAGTAGTATACAGCCATAGTTCAATGTAAACAATTTGAACTGAAACTCATGATTTTTGATAGGTAGGAAGCACATCTAGATAACACTAGGATTTGTGGCCTTATACATAAGAGATTCAGTGAGTTTATGGCAGAGCTTGATTATGTGGTTTTCGCAAATTATAACCTTGCCATGCGTGAGTTGATTGATTACCATAACTGCCATATATAAGATTATCAGGAGTTTATTTCTTTACCATATGTGAATTGATTGATTACCGTAATTACCATACTACATTTGAGATACACTGGGATTTCACGGGCATGACGGGCAGACGAATAAAGTAGTAAGAGAGAAAAATCCAGTGGAAGGCGAAGGAAAATCGGTGGGGGTGGGGGTTCTGAGAAGTGGATGTGCATCATAGGTGTAATCCACTGCATAATATATCTTGGTACGTCCATGAAAGCAATTGTTTTTTTAGGTGAAGATTTTGTATCCTACGAACCTTGTAAAGCACATTAATATTTCAAGCACTTACCACGTAGCATGGATTACTAACTCTGATTTGGTAAATAAGTACTAAACTTCCTTATATGAGGAAAAGTCATTGGAGATCAAGTGCTAACTCCACTCTAATGAAACTATTGGCAAGTTGAGAGGATACTAAAACTGAGTTTCAGGCATAAAAAATGAAAAAGAAAGCATATTATTGTTTGGACAATTGTACAGTCTGATCACACGATAGTAAACTTTTCCGGTGATGTGAAATATATCAAGGTCCTTTCAGAGGAAATATTACACAATTGTCATGGATCAGTGTAAGTTATTCATAGCAACACACCCAGATTACGGATCATCAGAATGCATGAACTAAACACGTGAAAAAAGCCTGGAATTTTGACTTCAGGTTCCTTTCATGCTTTCATGGTTCCCGTGAATCCGAATGGCAAGCAAAAATCATTAAAGGAACAATCTAACAAAAGCTATACTGGATGGAGACCAACCACGATCTACTCTGGAAGGAGGGTCCAATGGTTAAGTGATATTTTCAGATAATAAGTTTGAAAGCGCGGGTTATCTCCTAGAGGGGGGTGAATGGGAGATTTTTAGAAATTCGTCAAACTCTGAAGAATTCGACGAAGACCAGAGTGAAGAAATAGAAACACGAGGGAAAATAAGTCATCACAGAATCAGAGTGCATGCAATCAGGATACATAAGAGTGAAGAACATGCAATCATACATTCATACAAGCATGAAGAATATGAACTGAGGAAATAAAAGATAGTGTGATGAAATTCTTCAGTTCAAATTCGTCAGAGCATAGATCACAAATTCTTCAGCAACGGAATAATGTAAGAGAGAGTTGAGGAATTTGAAACCAGGTTGGCTTGGTGAAGACAATGGAATTTGATAGACCGGTTCTAGTTGCTGCATCAACTATACGTCTGGTTATGGCGGCTGAGTCGCAACTCAGAGGACACACAGTCCTCACTATATTCCTCCTGAAGTAAAACCCGCAGATCTCGTCCAATCACTCGTGGTAAGTCTTCAAGGTAGACTTCCAAAACCTTCACAGACTTGTTCACCGGCGCACCATGATGACTCTTGGTATACTCAAAACTTGACGCCTAACCGTGTGGAAGAATGACAGTATTCAAAGGTTGATGAGGACATCAATACCATTGTTACACCCACAGCCCCTGCTGCTATACATACTGATGCGGAGCATCCTACAGTCATCACCATGTCAAGAGTCCGTTTGGCAAGTGACACGTGCGACCTCTACTTCACATACACAAAGGTGAATCTTCTCCTTTACACGTGCTCACTTGACCCCTTCGAGGATGGTGTACTACTTGACACTTCTCCCGTGTGCATGCATAGGTATTGTCGGAGCTTCACAGATGTTGAGGAGGAGTTCAAGCGCCAAGGAACAACTACACCATCCGCGAGGGAGGCATGGAAGCGAAGACGGAAGAAAAAGGAGTTGCGGAGTCTACAGCGACCGGACGACCGGAAGCCACCGGACGTCCGACACCCCTACAACGCCCGGACGACCGGACTACACCAGACGTCCGACACCTGGAGCTCCAGCCAGCCCAAGAGACCTGCCGACGAAAGCTACAGCGGCCAGACGACCGACAAACGCCGGACGTCCGACAAGTCCCAGCGCACGGACGACCGACACCGATCAGACGAACGGTGCTACGGCGACAGAGAAGAATTTACGGAAGTCCGAAGTCTTCCGGACGTCCGGACCGTCCCGAGCTTCCGGACGTCCGGACCGTCCCGAGCTTCCGGACGTCCGACCCCCACCGGACGTCTGACGCCTGTGTGCGCAGCCGCTGGCCTTTGCCTTGTATCCCTCTCCCACTTACCCCTTCGTGGCTTAGACTATAAATAGACCACCTCCACCACCTTTCTAGGGTTAGCAAAGTGATAGCTCATTTGTTTGTGAGCTTTGCTCCTACCTATCTCTACTCTTGAGAGAGAGACCACTACTCCATTGGAGGCCAAGACCTCCATCTAGGAGAAGATCCTGCGGCATATCATCAAGACCCCTTCATGGGAAGATCCTTCTAGGATTCAAGCCCCCAACTCCTTTGGACTTGGGATGAACCTTACCTTGTATCTTTCCCTTTGTTGTTCATGTACCTTGTGATCTTGTGTGTTTGATTGTCTAGTGGATGTGTGATTAGACTTGTTCTTGAGTGTTTCCCCTTGTAATTTCTCCCCGTTCTTCCTCGTGTTCTTCGTGCTCTTCGAGGGATCCCACTCCAAACGTGAAAGATCGGCCAACATCGGGTTAGCCCCGTATCATATGGTATCGTGAGCCACGTTGATCACGTATTTGGAGTCCCTCCCACCGTTTTCTAGCCTTGTTTTGTTGTGTTCTTCCCCAAAATCCGAAAATCCCACCCAAAAATAGCCCCAATTTTTTTGTGATTTGTTGGTTTGATGATGTTTTGTTGATTTTGATCCATGGATTTGCTTGGTTTCGAGTGGATCTAGCATTTCCCCAAGTTTCCCATCTTTCTTCCATGAAATCTCGTCAATTTTGACCCCAAAATCTCCATTTTCCGCCCAAAATCGCGCCCCGAACTCGCATCTTGTGTTGACCCCGACCCACCGAACGACCGGCGTTTTACGGACGTCCGGACCCCCACGAAGCACCGGACGTCCGACCTTTCCTGGATGACCGGAACCCCTAACCCGAACCAAATTTACGGATTTCCGACTTTCCCGGACGTCCGACACTCCGGACATCCGACCTTTACGGACGTCCGTAACCTGTAGATATTGACTTCGGCTGATTTTTGTTTCGGCCATAACTAATTCATCCGAACTCCGATTTTGACGTTCTTTAGCTCGTTTTGAAGCTCTTGACATCCCTCTTCCCACAAAAATACCACCAATACCATTTGACTCCATCAAATTTTCGAAAATTTGGCAAGTTTGCCTAGGCCTTCCACCATATCATCCGCATAGCCACCACCGACTTCCACAACCTAACCCATTTTGCTTGCCATAGCATTAGTGGTTGCTTTAGTAGTGATTCGAGTCTCCTAAGGTGTTTCGGCTACTTAGGGACAATTGCCTCTTCATCAACCACCACCACCACTTTCGCATTGCCTAGTGCAAAACCACCACCGCTTTCCGCTACCACCATTTGACTTTTGCCATTGGAGATTTTGAGTTTGCGGTTTTTTCCGTTTCCTAAGGTGTTTCGGGTACTTAGGGACGAGTCTCCATCATCTTGGTATCTACATCAAGAACACCGCCACTCTTCATCGCAAAGGACGGTAACCTCGATGACACTATTGTATATTCCCTTGCAATTGCATTGTTAACCCCTAGCCCATTTTGCGTTACTTGCCTATCGAGACTAGCCATTTGAGTATTGCTGAGCCACGTTACTTGTGCACATTAGTGATCTACACCATCCATTGCATACATACCATATCATATTGGTATCATATCTTGTGTCACAAGTTTGTTCCCGCATATACACAATTGCTATCTTGGTTTGTGCATTATGCAAAAGTGGCCATATCAAAAAAAAATAAAGCTTTTAAGCAAAGAAAAAGAGAGAGCAAAGAGCTTGTAAGCAATAGCCATAGCATCACAATATATCGTATGTTATCATACTCGATCATCTTGGATCATCTTGTGAGAAACACCGGGAACCATACATATATAGCATACTTGGGATAGAAAGTTTATCCATTTTGCATCTTATAGATTTTGCACAAGTGTCGTATCCGCCTATTGAGCAATCATGCTAGTGTCTCTCTTGAGTTGTGCAACACAAGCGTTTTTCGTGGATTCCACATTTTGTGCTCATTCCTTGGTTGCACGACCCCATTTATCTATCCGTGTGTGTGTTTCCGTGTGCCGCATATTGCTATTGGTCTACTTGTTTCGCTTGCGAATTTGTGAATCTCTTTCAACATTATTGACTCTTGCTAACATTTGCATCAAATTTTTGTGCCACTATCCTCACTGAGCTCTACCATAAGCTTTACTTGATAGGTGTGAGTGAACAAGTCCGGTATCAATTCCACTATTCTTTCATCTCACATTGAGTGAAACGGG